CTCGGTGCCCACATCACAGCACATTCGGCGACATACATACATGTTCTAGTGCTAGTAGGAAGCCGCCTGAGCTGTACTGGTAAAATTGAGGGGTATTTTCAACGTCATACGATTTTAGCAAAGAGTGACTGGATTAATTAAGTAAATCCGTGAGGTTTCCTCACGACTTAATTTTGGGGGTTTCAAAGGGGGTAAGATAAAACATTTTTTGGCAAGGCTTCACTATACAATATCAGTACCAGAACCCTTTTTTGCAGACTTCATCCGGTGGCTTTTGCGCTAGTTGGAAAAGCAACGCTATACCTTACCAGTACTCTATGTACAGAAATATTGCTGGAAAGGACATGTTGGTCGCTGTGAGTTCATTGAAAAGGCTTCGGGAAGAATAAAACCAGAGATTTATGAACAACCGAGAGCTTGCTCAATTCCCCAGAGATATATTAACAGTGCGCTGAGATGCTGAGATGCCACCCGTACCATAAAGCCGGTAGCTACAAGTGTACCGCCCGGTGTGGTAGTATGTTGCGCCAGCAGCAGTTGTTGTGGTTGACATGTAATAGAACCGGTACCACCTTCAATTAGTTGAGAATGGAATCAAATTATTCCATGCATCCTTGTCATTGTCGATGTCTTGGCTGATCAGACTGTTTGACTGAGCGTGGAGAGATAATGCGAGTGTACCAGTAGTGGATAGTGCGAGTGGACACCCGCTAAGCTACCATTACCGCCACCTATCGTGTCGGCCTTCTTTTCTGTAAATGGCTGATGAATTTCCATTGTCGAATTGAATCCTTTTCAGTTGATCGACGCCATGGTCATCATGGTGCTTATTTGCTCCAGTTGCTGCTGCTCATTGAATCGAATCTATCATCATTCCTCATTGTCATTATGCCTTTGGATTATGAAGATAACGGAACGAAGAGGGCGCCGACTATCACTCACTCCGAGTCGATCCACAGCAAACCGTTGAATCATTCTTTGATGGAGCAAGCATATCAATCGTGTGGATCCGTAATGGACGGCTTGATTGAATATTCAATTATTCGATTTCAAGCCGATCAATCTGCTGCACCTCTGTTATCCAAACCGCGGTTAATACCGGGGCTCCGGGGCAGAAGTGAAAGCCATCCTCACTGAATTCCTACCAGCTCGGGAAGGTTTTCAAGTTAGTGAATTTTGAAGAGCAAAGATAAGTCACCAGTTGCCTTCAGTATCAGAATAGAAGGTAAAACCATATATATTTCTTACTTTCTAATATCTTACTGCTGATTACCCAGGAAATACCATTGTCGGCTCGATCGCTACAGAGGCTGTTATGAACTCCAGCCCTATCATGTGGATGGCCTATGAATTAGCATCGTCCAGTTCTTTTTCGATTCATCGCTCCAGATAACAAAAGGGACAGAGACTGCTTCAATTGCTACAATGTACAGAGTCTCTGCAGCCTGAACGTTCGTGATTGAGACATTGAATGGCAACAATCAACCTGCCGGAGGAGGCCACACAACAACACACACCAGAGAGTGGATCCTCCTATTGAATTCATCCCCCTTGTCACTTCCTAGTGTTTTGTTGGCGATTCCAGTGTCAGTACCCATATTCCGGAGGCTGAAGAGACAGATGCTTTCTTCACAGAAGACAGAAAGCGGGCGTGAGTTGGTACAAACAGGTCCAGACACAAGGAGCGGGCCATGCAACCACTACAGCTACTAGTATGCACTACAGCTATGCATACCACTACGCACGCCTTCTGGTTGGTGGTACCACTCATTCTTGTTGTTGTTGTCGTTGTGGTTCTCGTTGCCACCATTGACCGCACCTGTTGTTGCCGCACCTGTTGGCGTTGCCGCCATTGTGAGTGTTTCGGCCGTTGTGGAAGAAGAGAAAAGAGCATAGCTTTCCCTGTTTTTGATGGCGGAATGTATGGAGCTGATTTGACTGTGTTTCTTGGGTCGGAGGGTCAGTCGTCGAGTTGGAGTGGTTGACTGTTTACTCTCTCTTAAAACCTTCAGGTAGACAAGAACCAGTAGACCAGCAACAACTTCAAATTTCCACCTTCTGGTACAACAAATAGCCATAGGAATTGTCTCAGAATGTGGAAAATTGGTGTTGCAGCTGTGGATATGGCCTTTGTGCGTTCATTCCCATGAACCATAAGAGAGGACCAACGAGGGATAGCCGCCGACTGATAAACATGAAGCCGCTCCTCTTCCGGTTCATTATTTCGATACCTCTATCTTTAAACTATCTTTACTCTAAAGAGGATGCTATCTCCTCTTCTTTGCAGCGGCTACTATGTGACGCAACTCAAGGCGACCCAACTCAAGGCGACCTTGACGGGTCGAGCCAGTACATCATTGACGGGTCATCGTTAGAAGAAGTCAAATTGGATTTGTCGGGACTCTTTCAACAGAATTATTGCAACAAGAAACTCTGCAAACTCTTCAACGCATGGGGCGATTTGCCCCATGTTTGGTGCATTTATCATTTAGCTCATGGATTCCAACTGTGCCATCCTTGCCAATAACACCCCAAAGTCTCCCTCCCACACAATTCTACTGCACAGTTTGAACTTGGTGTGTATCTATCATCTGGTGTGCTGCGACCAGTAACTGGACCAGTCCTGAAAGAACATGCAGAACTCCTCTACAGCGGTCAGCGGCCAGCTGCTACCAGCACTCCTTTCGAAGACGTCTCCACCATGACAGGCTCCTCTTGTTTGGATATGCTTGGAGCAGCACCGCACCTCGATCTCGTAAATTGCCCTCTACTATCAAGCCAAACATCCTTGTCGATCAATTCCACTTTGAGCAAAATCGCGCGGGTATCCGCATTGTTTGCATGGTAATGATAATGGTAGCTTGCACTGTTGGCTATGGTAGTGGTGGTCATCGGGTGCATTTGTCCTTTAGCTCGTGGATTCAATTCAATGTCAACTGTGTCATACTTGTCCACATACACCAAAGTCTCCTTCCCACACACTTTTACTGCACAGTTTGATCCACTTTGGTGTCTGGCCCAGATGGCATCGAGGTTCTCCATACCATCAGGCCAAAGGACTGTGTTCATGTGAGTTCGTGGTGAAAAGTCGAACTGCAGTGTTGTGAAGGATGCATGGCCAATGTGATGAATGAGTGGAAGCACTGCTCTTGTGGAGTTTTGCTTGACTTTGTGGTGTGAATATAGACGGCTCGTGATGGCTGGACTGTACTAGTACTATCGGTAGAACCCTTCTACTTGGAGTATACTTGCTAGCTTTCTGTGCTTCCAATTTCAACGACAGCACTGGAATGTACTGGTTCGTTCCTTGGTGCTTTTTCATGCTGAGAATTTCAATGGCAACGACGCTTTGGGAGATGGTGTTGATGCTTCTGGCAGTCTTCATTTTTGTCCAACTTCCAATGACATTGTCAGCACACCCTTGGCGGGATATTCAAAAATGAAGAGGACGTGCTGTTGGAGGCCTCGAGCCGGATGAGATGGGTCTGCTGCGACCAGTGACTGGACCAGTCCTGTGAAAGAACTCCATGGAGCCTCACGCCCTTTCCCACCATTTTACTGAAACAGGTCACCAACCGCCAAATCGCTAAAACACAGGCTTCGGCCTCTGTGGTTACTTTTTGGTTTTGGCATGACTCTTTCATCTCCTCTGTGAGACTCATCAGTGCTGGGCTAAATTATTTGTACTTGTGAAACTTTGGATTGTGTCGGCAGGCGCCGTAGATTTCGTTGCGTGTGTTGATCATTGTTTCTGGTGATTCTCGAGAACGTCGAAGTATTTCAAGTCTTTCTTTGTTGCAAAGTTGGCAGTGTCGCGTCCGGAAGGTTTTGACACAGCTGATGGGGTTACCTTGCCATAGAACGCTCACTTGGACGCTGTTCCGCAGGAGCTCTTTGTTTACCGGTTTCATCATTTTGAATTGGTCGGCGAAGTGTCTTGCGAATGAGTCCGATTGGTCGTTGTCCATGAGGTCTATGGCGTCTTTGAAGTGTTCGTCGGTTCGAAGTTTGATATTATGTTGGGTTGTGCCTATGTATTCCATGTCGCTGTTTGTGCATTTGATACAGTATAGTACCACCTTGTTTCTGCAGACGTTGCCGAATAGACATTCGCCGTTCTTACCCTTCTTACGGAGTTGGCAGTTGCATGATTCGTTACGGAAGTCCCTCGAGACGATATCCTTTGTAAGCTTCCTTGAGAGGTCGCCTTGGAATGTTTCTCGGAGATTGGTGAATCGGTGGTATGACATCGATGTCCTAATCCACCCTAGATTGTGGGCTTTCTTGAGATCGTTGATTACTTTGTGAATGGGGGTCGTCCACGCTGTGGAGTGCCCGATGCAAAAGAACAGTGATCTCTTTCGGTCCCTCTCTCGTTGTTGGGCTTTTCGGTTGGTTACGGTGTCTTTGTTTTGTTGCTGTTCGGACATGCGTTGTTGTTCTTCTTTGAGCGTTGGAATTTGGTTGGACACAAGGCCAGCTTTACATAGGGCCTCGAAGTGCTTGGGGTAGATGGCATCGAGGCGTTGGTTTGCATTGTCTTCAGTTACTGTTGTTAATTTGGCAAGTCTCTGGTACACACCTAGTGGGATGTTTCTGAGGCATGCGTTTGTGTGGGTTGTCCCTCTGTTTAGATATTTTAGTTGTTGGTTCGGTTTCATGTGGACACGGAAGTTCAGTTCTTCTGTGTCTGCCCAGAACAGTTCCATATCAGGTACTGGTACCGGTAGGGGAAAGCTAATCCCGTTTCAACGTGTTCAAGCAAACAACCATGCATTGTCGCAGCATTTGACTTGGCAGAGCTATAGCCAGCCTTAACAAACAGACCACAATGAAGCTTCTTGCCTCTGTCACTGCATGCTTCCTCCTTAGTTTCCTCTATTCTGGGCAATGCCTCGCCCTGAATGTCCTGTCTCGTGGGCTTCACCGTCGCTCTGTGATATCTTTGGCTTCGGGGGCGTTTGTTGGCTTGGCACACCATGAGGCCGCGTCAGCAGCCTCTCCTGCCAACCCCTCGGAGGCCATAAGACGATCCGCTGCAAATATCCCTGGCTATGGCCAATCAGATGTATTTTATCCTTCTTTCTTTCAAGGAAATTGGAGAGTCAAGCGCACAATCCTCCTACCAGAAAATGATGGACTCACTTTGGACTATTCGGTCCGATTTTTGCCATCCATTGAAGATGGAGCTGTTGTGGCGGACAGAGGTTGGAATCAAGCCAATTTGGAAATGGCCATTCGAGCCTTGACCACGAAAACTCCAGACGATGCCGCCATGCCTTCCTACCAGTGGACAGAGACAAACCCCAACGATCTTCGGCTGACATTCCCGGATGGGACCCAAAAGGAAATAAAAGTCACCAAACGAGCCACAGAAAAGACAGAAGAAGGAGTTTTCAGCTCTGAGTTTCAAAGGGTTACGCAAGAAGATTTCAGGGGCATCCCAGTGATTTCAGCTCGACGCGTCATGTCCAAGTATAAAGTGGTCGGATCATCCATTGAAGGGATGGAAGTCGTTTATGATGCAGGTGGCATTGGAGATCCCTTGGCTGGCCCGACCAACGCAGGCAACGCAGGAGACTCCTCCCAACCCAAAATTCTAACCAAATCAAAACTTTTGTTGGAACGTACACAATAGAACAATAGATTCCTTTGATGGAAATCTGCAGTGTCCAACAATCAACCTGTACATCATCAGCTCCAGACAACAAACAACAAGGAAGGGTATCGCGTGTGAGCTCGAACCACACTCTTCAAGATTACTGAATGGAGGGGGAAATAGACATGTGTTTCAAATAAACTCAAGCAGCTAGCTACAGATAGAGTGCGGTACTACAAACAAGAATGCAGTATTGACCCAGCGGGTCGACCGTTTCGTGTGTACCGGTACCCCCGGAAGGCCACGCAGAAGCCAGCAGCAGACAATGTGCCTGGGCTACAGTATCTCCATTGACAAGGCTTCAAAGGTGCATACTGAGAAGGAAGCTACACCTCTGCTTTTTGTGCGACAAAGATGCTACTCTTGTCTTTCAGTAAATCTGCAATGTTCTCTTCAATCCCAGGTACAAACCCATACCTTGTGAAGAAGCGATGATAGGGCATGGTTTCATCTTTTTCCGATCGATACTGATTAAAGAGTTCTTCACCAGCTTGTAGATCCCGTCCGGCCCGAACCTCTACAGTTCCATCGTCTTTTCGCATGGCATGACGAATGTTGGGTTCGTCGCTATGCTGTAAATGGCCCCCATGGTGGTTGTTGGGTAGGAAAGGCAAGACATCATGATGAGAGACAACATTTTTGACTTGAGTAGGGCAAAGCAAGGAAGTATGTTTGTTTATTTACCTGAAGCATGTCTAGCCAAGGCACTAGCTTTTCAGCGTCTTCATCATCATCATCTCCATCTTGGAAGGCTCTCGTCAGCAGGCACACAAAAGCCCCTCGAACAGCTTCTGGCAACCCATCGATGATCTGCTTGAGTGGTTCTGGTTTGGGATCCCAGGGGAAATTGAACCCTGAGTCTGTTTCTGAGAGTTCTCCTCGAGCAGTCAGAATGGATTTTCCAATGATTTTGTTGAGTACACTAATGGCAAGATCGACTTCCTCTCTGAGGGATTTTGCCTCTGAGTAGCACATGGTGCCCTTCATGAAAGTATCAACGTCTTCGTCGCTCCAAAATAGCATGTGCTCTTGGCTATTGATGCCTCTTTCCCATGGCAAGGTGTCAAAGTAGGGACCATATTCAATTGCTTCGGATCCCTTAGCAAGCGCCACGAGACGCTTCTTGGCAAGAATTCCAGCCAATGCCACCGTGTTGCCGCCTGGACCTGCTTGCGTCATGAGTTTCTGAAATACTTCTCCACTGTCAGGATCATTTTTGACATTGTCCAATGTGACACATGCGGATCTGGGAATTTCCACCAGAATTTCTCCCTTGGCCACATTATCGGTGACAAAGGCCCCATAGCCGCCTCCTCGAGAAGATGGTTGAAAGCAGAGATTGTCGTTTACAGTGGCTCCTTTGGCTCGCAACCAATCCAATAAGAGGTCATAACTGGAACCTGGAGTATCTCGGGATATTGCTTGGATATCTACCAGGCCGCTACTAGAGAACAATTGGGTCGAATGCTGAGTAATGGTCTTGCTGGGAGACGACGACAGCACAAAGCATGCCGTCATCGTTGACAGATTCGGGAAAAACATTTTAGAGCCGATTGTTGATAATTATTGATTGGGTGCCTACAACAATGATGGTAACACTCTGGCAATACCGACCACCAACACGAGAAAGCAGCTACAATAGCCAGTGTCAGTTTCAGTGGGCTTGAAGCATTGTTGCCTTCCAACACATCGATGATCGACCGGAAGTTGAAGCAAGCAATCTGACGTCAGTGCTTGTGAAAGAGCGCTGACGGAAATAGTTTTGACCGTTGGACGCACGACTGAGTTGCTCGGTCGGTCAAGAGAACACAAGGAAGACGAAGACCACTGATATACTGTACAGTACAGTACTGTTATCGTAACTAATTGAAGTTTTCCGTGTTTGTCCTCTGCAGACAAGAAGCGAAAGCCATGAACACGCAACGACGAGTATCTCGCGGAAAAGGAGGCAGCGCCTTTCCCACTGATGGAAGATTGCCGAAACAGAATGCTCGGCGTCGAAGGCAGCCGAAACAAACTCCCGCGCCCAACAAATATGCGGAACAGGACCAAGCAAGAATTCAGAATGAAGAGGAACAAGCATCTTCGGTCGCCTCCTCGGAGGAGCAGATGCCAGACAATGTGCAAATAATAGTCCCGGCTCTACAGCCGGCAGAGCAAGCAATCGAAGAGGAACCTTGGAGGGAGGAGATCCGCCACGTGCGACGTCGCATCAAAAATGTGCAAGAAGCTATCCAGACTGGAACCGAGGGAATTGCCAACCCAAAAACCTACCAAACCAATGTTTTAAATTCTGTTGAGAATTGTATACAGGAATGGAGAGCAATTCTGAACCATTACATGCCATTGGATCCAAATGACACTCAAGTTTCAAGAACCGACAACAATAGTGACACGCCAAACGACCATGAGCAAACTGCCATGGACTCGAGTTCTCAATCTTCTCAATCTCATGATAATGATGAAAACCGCGATGGTGAACCATTGCAATTGGCTGAACAAAGTGGTCCCGTTCTGTTAGAATCGCCTGCTGATGAGCCAACATTACATCATGATGTTGCGGCGACAAACACAACAATCATCGACCCGACAATCATCAAGGAAACTGCCTTGGAAGTATACATGCTGATGCAGTTGGCACTCCAATGTGGGCCTCTCACGGGGAGTAATCCAGGGTATTTTAAACGGTGCGGGGGAACTGTCGCCCGCATGGTGCACGAATTTTTGATCCGAGTGGCACACAACGAAACGGAATGCACCATGGCCTTGAGGTTCTCGGAAAAACAGGCAAGCGCCATCACTGTATGGACCAAAAATGCTGCCAAAGCGGCCCAACAAGACAAGGAACCCTCCAAATCCAACTTGAAGAAGCAGCAGGGAAAATCCAAAAAGAAAAAGAAACAAAAGAACTAGCTAGATTTGGTTCTTGTCGCAATCGAATCAATCCCACAGTGGAATCAAGACTAGAATATGCATAGCAGGACGGCACGACGCAGACTGAGACTCCAGGTTTTACTAGAACAACTTCTTTTTGATTTTACATTATATATATACTGGCTTGCTGCTGAAGAGCTGCAGTACCCAGATACCCACAGGAATACAAAGGAGAATGCTTACACTGCTTGGAATAAAGACATGACTTTGATCCCATTAACAGGACCAAAGCAGATCGGGCAGCTCTTGACATCATCCTCTGCACATGCCTGACAGAGGCAAAGATGACTGCAAGGAAGCATCATTACCTCTCTACCATTCATACCGCATTGTAGACAGGACTTCAACTTTTGTGGCTTGACTCCAATATAGTTGCAGGTCCTCGGACTGATTTCCAAAGAAGAGCGTCGGCTTGTCGAATTCGGAGATGGTGAATTAGTCATTGATCGTCGCGAATTATGAGAAGAGCTCTTTGGCGTTATCGTCCCTCTCGAATCGTTGGAAACCGCGTGCTTGACCTCGTCGGCTAATCCTGTCGAGTCCAGGATGCTCTGTCGGAGCTGCGACGTCCTTGGTTTTGGCGGACTGCTTTCCCTGTGAGCAGGACTCAGCTTTGCAGATTCTTGTCGAACAGGGCCAAATCTCTCTGATTCCTGCCTAGCAACTGTACCATGCTCAGATTCACCAGGGAACTCTTCTATTTGAGCTAATCGATCCACTTTGGAGTCTCTCGCGTCGAGGCCTGTAGGCATGCTGTCATACCCAGGAGGAAGACTGCTAGCACTCACTTCCAGTGTGCTGAGATAGTCCATTTTCCCCTCTGGCAAACTTGCATTCAGTATGGATAAAAAGTCCATATTGCGGGAGCTCCCACTTTGTCGGCCGCCTTTCCCACGTCCCTGGCCACTCGCTCTCTGACCACCTCTGCTTCGACGCAGACGGAATACCACGACAGACTCATCTGGTTCTGGCTTTTCGACATGTCCAGTAGCAAAAAACTCGTCGTGGATGCTGTCATCCAAGGCTTCGTCCGCTCTATGGGCATCCTTCACGGGCACTGGAGACCCCGCCTTCGCCCTCTGCTTTTCTCGCTTTATTCGTCCAAAGGGGAAGGTCGCCGAGGGTTGGGCAACGCGATTCTCATCCAATTCATTCGAACGCCTTTCACTTGGGGGATCAGGTTCTTTTTGAGCGGCGCGAATATCAGGTTCTTCTTCAGCAGCAAGCATATCAGGTTCTTTTTCAGCGACACGAGTGTCAGGTGCTTTTTCAGCGGCATGATACTCGGGTGCCTTTTCAGCGGCACGATTATCACTCTCGGCCATGAGGTGACCATCCAAGGACGCCTCCTCCAACAGGGAACGTCTCAACGCACTGACCACTCTACCCGACCTCGATCGGGTGTCGTCTAGCAGACAGCTCACATCATCGGAATAATCCAATGGCTCCATGATAATTTTAGGGATGCTCGGTCTGTGGGTCGCCACGGGCGATTCTTCCGGTTTCGCTGCAAAATGGATTGGAGCTTCCCAGCTGGATTTTTTCCTTTCCACCCTCGGAACTGGCGATAGGCGCTGGTTAGGAGAAACGTTTCCAGCATAATTGTTGGGGCCTTTTGCAGGAGCCTTTCCGGGGTCCTGGTGAAAGGTGACATCCTCTACCGACCAAATTTCAGAGTCTTCGGACTGATCATCATCGTCTTCGTCGATATGGTCGTGCATCAATGAGCCTGTGAGAGACCCCGACAAAGACATCGAAAGCCTACCATTGCTGCGATTGTTTTGTCGAAAGGATAGGTGGCTGCTCACGTTTGAAATTGTGGACATCATATCAATGGACGAGAACGCCGATCCCTGTCGACTCGACATTCCGGAAAGAATCGAACCGCGCTTTCCCCCGTCATATGATTCCTCGTCGCTGTCGATTGTCATGTCGCCCTCGCTGGTCAAATCATCATCCGAGTCAGAGTCGAACAAATTGTTTCCACTTCCCCTGCGTCGTAGACCGGCACTGGCCCTTCGACTTTGTTGTTGAGAGGTTGGTCGTTGGCTGATGCTGGACGGCGATAAACGAAGCAATTCAAACGTTGAGGTGAGCAAATCTGCCTGATATTCCTTCTCCACGACTCTGATTTCCTTCATCTTTTCCTGCCCCGAAAACTTATTCCATTTGTCCGTGTGTCTGTTGGCGGCGAGGGTGCGAAAGCGCAACCGCAGGTCGCTCGCTGTTGGCCTTGACACTGCCATAAGCTGATAGGGAAAAAATCCAGAGGTCGGTTCCCGAGCACCAGCAAGCGTAGGCGCTTGCTCTATTAACGGACGCAGCTCCTCGATGGTTTTCCCAGCTTGGATGGCAATATGGAGAGGAAGCCGGCCTCCAGATGATCTCGCGAAAGCGGCTTCTGGGAAAGCCCGTAAGAGAAGCTCGATCGTAGAAGGTCTATCGGTCTCAGTCTCAAAGTATTGGGGAGTGTAGACAGTTGCCCTGCAGGCTAGGTGCAGTGGGAAGGTTGTAGAATCGGGCAATGGAGTAGAAGCAGACTCGGGATTAAGCCCCAAAATCAGCGCAATGAGATCAGGCGGCGAGGTTGAAATGGAAACCGCGACATGAAGAAGGTATTCTTCCTCCTTTGGAATGTAGGGTTTATCAGCCGCGTCCATCGAGCTGTAGCAGTGCCAAAAGTACATTTTGAGCATCCCCCACCAATTGACGAAATCCGTTGACCTTTGGCTCAACACCCTGTGTTCCAAAGCAACACGAATATTGGTCTGCAAGATGTTCATGTTGTTTTCCTCAACTTCCCAATGCCCGCTGTTCTTTTTGTAACACCACGACAAATAATGAAAGGTAATCATTTCGGGTCCCGTATTGTTTTCGTTTCGCCCCTTCCTAGCACTTTTGTCACGGTCCCTGCCACTCTGTTCCTGGACCGCTAGGACGTCTTCCTTTGTTTTTTCTTTTTTGCCTCGTGTCCTCGTTCTGGTAGAAGACGCATCAATCACCGATTCTACACATTGTGGCGACCGCCGCAACAATTCGTAGACGGTATCTAGCCGCTTGAGGGATTCAAATTGTCGAATTCGTTCCACCGCGTTGTGTTGCTGTTTCATGGAGAGCCCTTGCCACACAATGGACGAGTACTGGTTTCGTGTCAGCTGCAAGAGTCGAATAGTTTCTTTTTCGCTGTCTTCTTCCTGGTATGCCGCCGCCAATTGACAGGGATACAACTTGGTGACTGGATCGGGTATCCTGAGTGAAGATCGATAACTGGACACGAGAGGATGTATGGTGGACCATGTTCTTCCTGCGAGGATGGCATGATGCAGTGGCAATCGATTTTGGAAATTATGAAACGCGGCACTTTCATCGAGCGAGAGCAACATATCCATGCAATTGAGGCCATGCATGTATGGCGATTCATAGTTTCGCGGTACATAATCCCGATGCATGGCGAATCGGTGCAATGGATGCGCCGATTGCGTGTCGGGTTGTCGTCCCGAACCGGGATACAATCCCAGCAAGAGTCGAACCACATTGGGCGGTGTATCGGTGTTCTCGAGCGCCGCGTGCAACAGATAGTCATCTGGTGTTTGCTCGGGGTCTTTTCCGGCACAAAAGAAGATGAGGAATTTGAGTTTTTCCCACCATTGCAAGAATGGGGCATTCTGTCCCTCGGCTGCCGAGGGGAGTTGTCCTTCGACGATGCATTGCTCCATGGTAAGCATAAAGTCTTCTTCCGCGACATATTCCAGCAATTTGCTCTTTTTGAAGCAGCTGGTGACGTAATGTGCCGACACCAACCCCAATCCTGTTTCATCTCGAACGCCCTTGACTTCTTTGACATCTGCCAATAGGAACGCCAATTGTTTCAGAATGGAGATTGGGTATTGTCGGAAAATGGCCAGGTACATGGCGGAGCATCCCAGCGATATCCTCTGTTGTTCGTGTTGTTGTTGTTGTTGATGCTGATCGTGGCGACTGGATTTGGCAGATGATGCTGGCGACAATAAAAAGGACGAGGCGGAAATCAAGAGCGTCACCGCAGCGGGTGGTGCGGCATGCAACATGGCTTCAATGAGTATGGGTTGACTAATTTTTTGCGTGCTGGCATTTCGAATGAGGAATGGATGATTGTGATCAATCTGTGTATTCTTGGAGATGGGTCCTGTGGCCAAGACAATGGTATTTTGTTGGGCTTGTTGATGATGCGCTTGCGCGGATTTTTCCAGTAGCCAGCGAGTGGTGCCCCATCGTTTTGCTTGTTCATCTTGCCAGGACGATGCTTCTGCTTGTCCTGGTGTTGCCGCTGTTTCCGCCGGAATGGGAGCCCAGAATCCTCGAGGAGCGGTTTCAAGATCTGTTTGTCGTTTGGCGACTTCAATGGCGTAAATGACAGGTGTTTTCCCTTTTTGATCTTGTTGATGGAGCGCCTGTGGATTTAACTCTACCAACTTGGCAATGATGGAAAGAGGTCTCTGTCTCACCACGGCAAAATGGAGTGGTAATCGTCCCTTGGCATCCGCGATGGCCACGGCTCTTGGCTGCGCCAGAATGAACGCTCGCAGCATGTGATCAGGAATTTCGGGTGTATTGAGTGCCAATTGAAGAGGTGTTCGACCTGCCATGTTTGTGCTCAAGAGCGCCTCTTTGTCAAAGGAAGGATGATCCGGAGACATGTGAAACCTCAACTCCTCTTCTTCTACAATGGTACTTTCTCGTTCCGGTTCGTCGTCATGGTCACTACTATAACCACTAGCAGCACTGGCTCTGGATCGTCGGCTCATATTATTCATGCTCATGCTCATGGTATCCATGTGATTGTTGTTGGATCTGGAACTGGCTCCTAACGACAAGGCACTCGATCTCACGGATCGTTTCCAGAGCCAATGGAGTGACGACGAGCGTTTCTTCTTTTTGGTGTTGGGGTAGCCAGGAATGCCCATGGTGGACTGAGACGACATGTCCAACATGAGTTGTTTGTCTTTCTTTTTCTTCTTTTTGCTGCTCTTTTCAATACTACTCTTTTTCTTTTTCTTCTTGTAGTCACCACTGGGGGGAAGAGGAGGTTGGTTGCCAGAAGCGCCCGGCAGAGACGACGGAAGTGGTGGTGGGTGTTGCACCTGTTCCAAATAGCCCTGCAAGGCGACCCAATCTTGCTTTTCAATCACATTGTGCCAACCGCTTTCACTGAGAGTACGATCACTCGTAGAGTTGTCTTCTTCGTCTCCTCCTCCTCGACGTCGATGATCCGAAGTACGAGAAAGACTACCCGTGCTCTTGCTGTGATTATTGTGCCGGCTGTGACTGTGCGTCGAAGAAGATTCCATCGGAGCCGTTTCCAGTTGACGACGGCTGCCCTTGCGTTTCATGGGGTGAGGAGACGACTCTCGTCGTACTCGACGTGAAGACGAGTCCTTCATTGTGATCTCTTTTAAGCTTGTAACAAACACTCAATATCCTCACGCTGTTGTGGAGCTCTACAGTATTAGCACAGAAATCAGCTCAATATATCGGTGACTCAAGTTCACTGTCACTCTGGTGCAGACAGTGCTAGCTATAAATAGCTACCGGTAGAGTGTGTTGGGGGCTTGGAGGGTGGAAGGGGTTGAAAGCAGTTTTTTAGCTCCGTAAAAAGCGAAGACGCTGTCAGACTTTGTGACTCTACTGGTTCATTCACTACTTAAAAGTCATGGAAGCCAAAATGTCACAATGACTGTCAAAAGGGAACCAATGATTATTTGTTCTCGCACTCGCCGTAAACATTTTAAACAACTTTGTCTTAGATTGAATCATTCACAGGATTGTCCAGGACTTCATGTTGCTGATCTTGGACGGTTGCCGTGGGTGGATTCTTTGGAGATGTCCTAGAAATAATTGAACAGATGAGCCCTCGCCTCCTACCAGCCAGTACCGGTACATGTAGCCAGCTACTCCTGGCTACCATCACACTGCTCGTTCTTCTCTCTTCACAAGTTGGTTCGGCACTGCCAACTGCGCGTCGAAGAGGCAGAATTCGTTCTCTTTGGGCAGTCCTCCTTTTTCAAAACAGCGCCTGAGCTGTAGAAACGCACTTGTGGTCCCCCTGTTGGAATCAACTGCAATCCGATCCGAAGCAGCCTGCCTGCAGCCAGCCTGCCAAACTACTGTACCAGATATCATGCCAGAGCTCACCGTTTGAGTCTTCAAGCAAGTGATGGTCACGGTCGGCACATTTCTGTCTGGGATTCTGGTTTGGCATCATAACGGGAAAGAATGGTCAAACGAACTCACTGTCTCAATTGTCCTAATATTCCACGCCGTGGTGGAACGTTAACCCTCGCACCGTCGCTTTTGAAAAGACTAGACGTGCTAACCAAAACGGTGATCGGCAAAGGACCACAGTAACTCAGCAGCAGACGAATGCAATGCAATGATAAACCAAACATATCTCTCGTAAATGGTTGGAGCAGTTGCCCACTATCAAGATGGTGCCATACAAGTGGACAATTAGTGCCCGGCACGGTACGGTACCTAGCTGGCTAGCTAGCTAGAGGAGGCCAGACAAAGGTATTGGATGTCAAACCGTCTACAGTCACATCACGGTACCCTGAAAGTATTAGAACGAGGGGCCCTTGCAAGGTAAATGCTGGTCGCTCCTGAGGTAACACAGCTCGCTCAAATGGAGCATTCAAGTTTGAACAGTTGACTAGTAGCTATGCTGAGGCAGGGATAGAGCCTTGCTGGCTCAAGAACCCCTTGTTGGCCCAGGGCGGATAGGGAGCGGCGCACCCGACCTTACCGGTACGAGGAGGTACGCGTACAGCTTCTTGAAACCAACTTCCCATGGCGTCGTCCCGCCAGTAAGCTCAGAAGCATATCACCTGTTCCTTGACACCAAGTGTCACTGTCAAAACGGACCCAGGCAAAAAACTGATCTTCCCTTTTCAAATTTCCTCCCAAAGGCTTCAGGGGATTGCCCACCCGACCGTCGCATGCAAACAAGGATATGGACGGAATGTGGCTCGACGGCTCGAACTTTCCCTTCCGATCCTCGGTTTTTGTACGTACGGAACTTGAAGCAGAATTCCATGCCGACCATGACTGCATGCTTTGTGATGATCCTGTTTAGAAGAGAAGGCTTGTCATTTTGCGCGAGTCAGCCCCACCAAAAATATACCCCAGCATTGAAGCTAACCCGTCCAAGGTCTGATTATTAGTTTTATGCTTTGGTGCTAACCATTCAAACGACCCACCAGTTGTTTTGGGTAAAGTTAATTGTAAGTAAGGACAGTATAATCTAAAAATTCAAAGCTAACAGTTGGCGAACAGTCAGGTGTGCAACATGCGTTGAACCTGGGTTCTGGCTTTTGTCCTGGAAGGTGGCCACATTGCGCTGCAGGCAGGCAACAGGCGACGTCAACAGTGCTCAGCTGTTAATTTTTCCTCTTCATCGATCGCATGGACAACGAGGAGTTTGGATCCCTGGCCCTTGTGAGCTGACCAACACAAATAGCTCTTGACCAATACGTGGGAAGAGGAAGAATAGATTACCGTGCTAAAACTTTGCAGCTACCTCCACCATGTCGATCTATGCGTTGCCAGGAGCCCTCCATGAGCTGATCTCCAAGGGTATATCCAAGTCTAAGGATGAGTCTGATGCTTGCTCCTCTCCAACCAAGGACGCGAAGCCTGTTGTAGCACAGGATATCGATGCGAGCTCTTCTTGTTCCATCTTCATTGACACAACCGCAAGCAATCCTCTTCATAGAAAGCCTTCTAAGGGTTGTGCCTCTTCTCCCATGGACAATGGATCCGATCATTCCAATTCCAGTAACAGCAGCAGCAGCAGTTGTTCCAGTAGCCGTCATGGAAACAACAATGTCAAACTATCCGTTAAGGAAGCCAAGCTTGATCCGGAGAGGCTCATTCGATCACTTGCTACCAGCAGTAGCAGCGACGCCAAGAAATCCGAGAGTTCCGGGGATGACTCTTCCACTAACACTTCTTCCAGTGGCCAACGCCGCCGACGCAACAAGAAGGACGACCGCGATCCTCACGAGGACGCCATCAAGTTTGAGATCAACGTATCTTTCAACGGAAGAGAGTATACGGCTACTCGCACACTCCCTAGAATCCTTCAGTTCCGATGTGATCTCATTGAAGAGTTTCAAGAGAGACGCAAGTTCCGAGAACGAAGAAGGAAGCGCAAGGAATCGGTAGCTCCAAAGATGGTCAAGGTGAAGGATCTTTCCGATGACGAAGAGGAAGAAAAGGATATCCCCGAGCTACCTCGCCTAGCCGATGACACGGCTCATGGCAATGGCTTTACCATGTTGAACGCTCTCCTACGCCCCTACGGGACGGGTGTAGAACGATGGCTTCTCAAGGTCTTGGATATTGTGCCACATGACAGTCAGTGCTTGACACAATTCCTTTGGGAACCCATCTCTGGATCTGCTACCAGCAGAAAGTTTCAGAGGCGCAGGTCCAGTTTGACATCCATCCAGGAGGCGGCGGATGATCTCTCTTACGACAGTGATACAGATGAGTTCCTCTTGCATCACTAATGGCTAGCTTGGATGGAACTCCAGTTTGTTTGTTTGGCTAAAGTACAGTACTACTACGTGTCCCTGCATGCGTTTGGGCAAATGTTAATTAAGAATCTTTGGTAATGTAATAACTCTATGGCATGGCTACGTTAGCTTCATGAAAGCTCTGCCTCAGTCTAACCAGCTAGCTAGGCAAATAAACCAGATGGAGAGAGTAGACAAGAATAGAAATCTGCCATCTGGGTGCAGTAGGGGCATCCAACCTACTACCGGTAGGCCACGAGGAAAGGAGCTGGTGCCTTGCCGATCGAAGGCAAAACATGAGGAAATATCCAGGACTGAAACGTCAGAAGAGGTAAGAACTGGAGAGCCAAGAGCTTTGACATCTTTGCTCCTTTCCCTGGTTCCAGGACTGTTGTTTGAGCTGTTGTTCGCCTGCTCTATGAGCTCCCAGGTTTGCCTATGCAGCCGAGTTCCAGCCCTGTAACAGTAACCATCTGATGGCTGGCTTTCCACATGACGATGTTTTATGCCTTCATGTATGCGAGAGTACCGATAGCTAGTGCTACCGGTATCATACCGTAGTACTTGATACCATTTGCTTAATCTACCGGTGTCAGGCACGTGCGATAGAGATAGACGCAGCACCAACCAGAAGGTAGACTACCAGTAAAAGTGCGTTGAAAGCATTCTATTCAGGGTTCTGCAATGCGAGAAGTGGTCCATCTAGCTAGTAGAAGAGATCTTTCGAGAAGCTTTTCGAGACTCCTATCAAATTTATTTGTGGCTCTATGTTGGTCCACCGGCGTGGACGTAGGTCGGATTGGAATACAAAAACTAATGGAGACTTCGGAATAGAAACATTATTCCTAACAATAAGGAAAATACTGTAGCTTAGCCAGTGGTGGCAGTCGGAAGCCTTCACTTTCGTTCCAATGACAACACAAAAAAAAGACAGCAGTTGACGACCATGGCCCTTCCGCAACCGACGGTAATCCCTGTGCAGCAGGATTCCTCCTGTCTGGATAATGAATGGTCTCTGCTCGAGCTCAACGGCGAACTGATAATGCCAGTAGATCTTCCCAATGAAAAGAAGCCGCTAACAACGGTTTTCGGACCGGATCAAATCGAACTTGGATCTCTTTGCTTTCAAGATGACAAGCCAGTCCTCATTTTGGGCACCCATGAGCTAGTGGGGCGAATGGAGACTCTGAAGCAGCCCTTTTGTGTATTTGAAAAGGTTTATGGAGATGAAGGAGATAATCCACAGTTGGAGTACAAGGTGGCAGGGATCATCAAGCACAAAATGCTGTTCAATAACTACCCAAAAACAATCATGAAGTCATAACGGCACCGGACTTGGATGGATGGATTTATGAATGGAATACTACGGGTAGGCTTGGCCAATTGTGAGGTGATGGATGATGCAGATGATAGATGAAAGCTGATACAATACAAGGACTCACTGTGGAACAATTTACTTTGCATCATTATGTGGTACATTTGGCGTCATCGACCATCCTATCAGATGCTCAATTACCTACTGTATAGCACCATCATTGTTTTGGATTGCTGAGGTGTTGCAAAATGCTTTCACCACGGCATGGCTGCAATTCTAGAAAGCCGAAAAAGCGCAAATTGGTTTTCGAGAATGGGTGACGGGGCAGCAGCAATTGAACACAGCTGAGTAACATCTATAGAGGTGCAAAGAAACGAGCAGAATGATTCTGATTCGTCTATAGCTTTTCTTCGCATCCCCATTCTCGTCGCAATCTTCAATGAGAGAATGGACTTCGTATAATGCTAGGATTGAACTTGACCAACAAAGTGTGAAGTTGAAGGGTTTGCTGGTAACCTTTTTCTATCACCTGCCATACAGCTACGCTGTACCCTTCAATACCATACTTGTACCGGTTCAGGTAATCCTTCGAATGTTGATTACTCCACAGAAAACGCTGTAATTCAGCTACCCGAAAGTAGCAAGTATCTGGGACCGTCAGCAGCAAGAACCCGGTGTAAGGATTGTATTCTGATCAGCGCTCTCTCAAAAGTGCCATGTGGCAGCAGCTCTGCAACGTCACTCGATTTCGCCGTTGCTCTTCGAAGAGACGAAAGATCTTGTCCCACGCATTCTTTTGCTGTAGAAGGATCGTCGAAACAGGTTGATAAGAGAAGAATCAAGCCTTGACAATTGAGTGTCCATTGTCCCACTTACCAAGCTGCCATCCAAGTTTATCGTTCACCATGGCCCGCTTCAGCGTTTCCTCGGCAATTTTGATGGCCCTTGCCATTCCCACGGCCCAAGCCTTCACTTCTTCTGTCCCATTCACCAAGTCGTCGTTTGTTCCAAGCCACAGTGGGTTTGTTAGTGTCCGAACCAGTGACACGGCGCTCAGTATGAATCTCTTTGATCGATTCTCACGAGTGGCCAAGTCAAATCTTAACAACATCCTGAAGAATTTGGAGGACCCCGAGAAAATCATGGGCCAAGGTAATATCGCAGCTATCTAGCTTTGCTGCATCTTGTTGCGCGTTGGTTGGCCCGTTGTGGCAAGATTTTCCTCAAACTTCGTTCCTGTATCTCAATTTGACGTAAACTATTCATCATTCAAGCTCTTGAGGACATGCAGGTGAGAAATCAAACATACGCACTGTTGGTCGCTGAGTTTCCATTAATCTTCGCTCAATAAATGGTTTGCTTCCGCATATTATCATTCATCCATAGAGTGACCTCGTTAAAGTCCGTCAATCTTACGCTGAAGTTACAGCCACACAACGCCGACTTTTGAAGCAAAAGGAGCAAGCGGATGCCTTGGCGCAAGACTGGTTCAAGAGAGCTCAGTTGGCCTTGGAAAAGGGCAACGAAGACTTGGCTCGAGAGGCGCTTAGCCGCAAGCAACAACAAACAGAAGAGGCTGACAGTCTTCAAATGCAAATTGATGCTCAGGCAGCCAGTATTGATAAGCTGTACGAAGGTGGGTCCACAAACTGTTCAACATGAATTCTGCTCAATCATGGCTTTTTCTGACAAGTCTTTGAATTTTAAAACCAAAAGGAATGCAAATGTTGGAAAAGAAGGTTTTGGAGAGCAAGGCCAAGAAGGAACAAATGGTGGCTCGTGCACGAACAGCTCAATCTACACAAAAAGTCAATGATATGTTGGGAGGTTTGACAGGTTCGACTTCGATGGATGCTTTTACCCGCATGGAAGAAAAGGTGGAAGCTCTCGAAGCCTCCGCCGAGGTTAGTGCCGAAATGGGAGCTGTTGGCGGAATGGCTCTTCCTGGATCTTCCGGATCTTCTCTGGAAAACGAATTCAAAAAGCTGGAAGCTGCTTCTTCTGTGGATGATGAATTGAGTAAGATGAAGGGGCTCTTGAAGGGAAGCAGCGATGACAGCGCCAGCAAACCTAGTAGTAGTAGCGCAAAGTCGTCCAACCCCGAGGTTGATGATGAATTGGCCAAGCTCAAGAAAGATGCTGGTTTGTAAGTAGCTAAGAATCGAATCATAAAGGAAGCGAGCGTCTAGAGAGCTCGAGGATTGCAAGGTTGACCCTTCAAAAGCGCACTGAAAAAATATTGGTACCGGTAGTTACCAAGAGCAAGGAAAAAATTGCTCTTTGGCAACATGAATCATGCTGTGAAAGCCGCCATACGCTTTCTTTTTCATTGCGAGGAGAGGGTACGCGTAGCTCGAATCTCCAGCAATTCGTTTTCGCAAGGCATCCGAAGATCGTGGACGACAGGATGGTGCAGAGCTGACAACCTACAACGCCTCCGCCGGTAGAATCTCGAACGATGCGACAAATGCGTGGACCGAAAATGCGTCGACTTTCATTTCGTCTGCAACTGGGGGTCCAAAGCTGCTGTCGCGGTACATTGTTACTGTACTCTCATTGAACAGCTGGGTCGTATCTCTCTACGCAGATAATTTTGTAGCTCTCTTGTTGGTAAGTACCGGTACGGTAGTACTATTAATTAATACACGAATTAACAGGAGTTTCAGCATGTCATGATAGCAGGATGAAAATAGTCAAACTTTAGTATAAACAAAAACTAGCTAGTACAACATGGAAGACAGACAACGATGTCACCGTGACATGGAAACAAGCAGGCTGATGTGGGGCAAACAGTCTCACGTTTGAGGTTTTCACCATCGCCATCAAGCAGAGGTCGTGTTTGAAGATACCGTAAAGGTATGTCCATCGTTAGCTTCAAGTCTGAACAGCTCCAGAATTGAGCTTTTTAACCATGTTTTCAAGACCCCTTTTCTTCTTTTCTATTCTCGGGCGGTTAGCTTCAAGTACGCCTCCAGTGGCATTTGCCTTTAGGGTGGAGAGTACCTCCGCTTGTAGCTTATCAGCAGTTGCATCAAGTCCAATCCATCCAATATCAATGCTGTTGAGAGTGCACTCCACTCCAACCAGGACAAGAGTCCACAAATTCAGTGAGTTGTCGCATATCATGGACATGGTGACCGGAGTGGAAGATGAAGCCTTGACTTGCATCACTCCAGTCGTAGGAATGACCAGGGATCCTCCGCCTTGGAACGAGTTCCATACAAGGCTGGGCAACGTCCTTAGAAGGCCCCGTGCCCCCAGGGAAGCAAACACCTTGTCTGAGACATCAAAGTCGCCTCGTGCTTGCAGGGCCCAGACGGCTTTATCGAGCCCCTTATCTCTCCGACACAAATCATCACTCAGGCATTCCTCGTTTCGATGTTGTATATTGTGATCGTAGACTCGTCCAATGTGCGTCAGTGCTCCATAGTAATCGGGGTAAAACAGATCAAAGGCCAGGGAATGCACATCAATTGCTATAAAGTTGGAATTGTGCAGTCTCACTTTCACGGTCAACATGGTGAATATTTCTCCATTGATAACCGAAGGAACTGGCACCTTGACGATCTGCAAACTGTAGGGAGGAAGACGCGGCTTGAACATTTGAAACATGCTCGTCGTCAGAGCAGCCAAAGTCGCCACAACCACAGCATAGGACACCATCTTGTTCTCGCCTTTGCTTTTCATCAAACCAAGCCAAGGAAGAACCAACCAAGCTTCTCCTGTCTGAATGGCAATCAGACGGGCGACCGTTGAAGACAGAAACCTATTCCTCTCTGACCAATTTGTCGATGCACGGCAGTTTTTGTGAGCCGTCATGAGGGACGCAGGCCATGGTCGGTGGTCTCATCGCCGATCTTTTCTGGAGAGGATGACGTATGATAACCGAAAAGCATGCAGACATATTACAGCTTAACCAGCTTGACACGTCACCCTTAGATCTCTCTTTTGCCAATGCCATGCATGCCCGCAACCAGGCAACCTTCTTCGCTCAGCTGCACATTTCTCTCATGTTCTCGTACAACCGGCAGCCAGGATATGGTCGAACTTGGATGAAACACACGGTGCATAAACCATAGAAGCCGAGCAACCATGATACTAGTACATTCTTCTCCTTCCTGGAAGGCCGTTGTGGCAGCGCTGCAGCTGCAATGTTTGACGATCCAAGCGTTTGCGCCTACGCCTCTTAGTCCGCTCCAGAGTGGTTACAGCACCACCACCATTCAAAAGACAACAATTCTCTTTTCAGACTGGAATGACAGCTCTCAAGACTCCAACAACTGGAGCAGTAGCGATGATGCTGGCAATGATGCACAGGAAGATTGGGAAGATCTCCTCAACCGGAAAAACGATGGAACCTTTTGGTCTGAATTTGAATCCAGTGACGACAGTGTTGTCGCTCAAGATGTCAATGTTGATGAAGTCGAACAAGTTGATGAATCAGAGGCATGGTTGGAGACTCTGGCATCCCTCCAAGCAGAAGAGGTGGAGTTCAACATGAAAGAAGCCGATCGAGCTGATAAGGTTAGGCAGATGCAAGAATGGGGGTTTGATTCATCCACCATTGAATCAACCTTGGACGTTTCCATGGATTCAGCTCTGGAAGAAACCGATGAAGTTGATGGGATGAAGCTATTTCGAGAAGAATCCTACTGGGAAGAGGAAGATCTGAGTTTAGTGGAAAGCCATACTAAAGTGGCAACAGATCCAGACACTGGGAGTGCTATCCGGAGTCAAATGGTCTATGTCGATGAACACACCTGCATTGGTAAGAAAGCAGCCAGCAGCAACAACAAATGCACGGAATATTCCAGATGTCCTCACCATGTACTTCTCTTCACACTCAACATTAATTTTGGTACCTTCCAAATAGGTTGTACAAAGTAAGAGGTCTGCAGCAAAGATTATCACCTTCACTGGCTAATTGTTGGTCTCATTCTCTTGAATCTTTTTTGCTGTCAGCTGTGCAATGATCGCACAATCAACCTTTTTTATGCAAGAAGACCACGGTAGAGCTCGAGTGTTTGAACAGTGGGGTGATGATGATGAAACTATCAAGATTGCCATTGAAACCTGTCCTGTGGATTGCATCCACTATGTTCCTTATGATGAATTAGTCAGACTTGAAGTTGAACGTAGAGACCAAAACATCAACTCTAAGGTGAGTGAACTGAACTTTTCTTTTGGGCAACGTTAATGCTGTATTGACATGCCTAACAACATCTTGCCTTTCCAATGTCTTTGCAATCTAGGCAAGGTTGGCTGGACAATCTGATTCAGACAGAGTGGGTGGTCCTGTGGCTTTTACAGCACCTCAAAAGATCAGCGGGAACATGGGGTCAAGATGCAACAACTGCCCATCACGTGGCTGCAAGACCTGTCCAATGTATGGCGTTGGTATGAATCCAGAGTTTCAACGAAAAGAGCAGGAGCGCAAAGCCCGTGCTGCCAAGCGACGCCTTGAACGTGAGCGAGACCGTGATTTGAAGAGTGCTGATTTATGAACAAATTTGTCTATAATGTTGATAGAGATAATTATAGCAGTTTGCCCGCCCCCGTCGCTACAGATTGTTACTTGAAACTTGTTCTTGCTAGGATTGGAAGTACGGGTGCACGGTGGACAAGTGCCTGGTACCGGTATGGGTTGACACCAGTTATCATTTGTAAGAGTTGTCAAAGAAATCCTCTTCGAGCTGTACAGCTTCTACGAACCGCTGTTTGAATGCTTCTCTCTCTTTTTCCGAGACAAGAGCCGCTTCTCTGTCCAGCAAGCCTCTCAAGTATTCGACAACGCCTGCGAAGTAGCTACCCTTATGGAGGTCAATCCACTCTGTATGAAGAAAATCTGTGGCTGCCACCGTCTTGACTTCGGCCCATGACAAATAGGACCATTCGCAAACACACAGTATTGCCAGCTTTTCACTAAAATCCAAAAGTAGAGCGAATAGGAAATGGTCAGCGTATATTATTGCGAGCGACACCACGACAAGGAAGGTGGTCGAGTGAATTACATACCCAAGACTTCCGTCTTTTGCGACTGATCTCATGAGCTCAATAAACTTTGAGGTTACCTCGTCGTTGGGGATCACAAGTCTTTCCTCTTGGGTAACGCCCAACTTTTCAAAGCTACGCTCAAAGTACGTGTTCTCTTTTCCCGTGATCACGGCAAGAAACTGACATCCTGGTATCCGATCTTCGAGGGTTCGACAGCTGGCTACCATGGAGGCAAGCAGAACGACAAAGGAATCAAGGAATCGATGGTCCTGAATTAAATACTTCGAGAGGACTACACGGGAAGAACACGCAATTCAAGGTGAACCATAATGTTATAGCGTTGCCACGAGAGGTTCCAGTCCTGTTTCAGATACCTTTGGGATCGAGGGTTCCGTCAGCGAGCTCAACAGTAAACTGGTGATTGACCAGCCGTTGCCACTGGTCAGCGACTGCTGCTTTCAGCTCATCTGTGAACCTGGATCCTACGCCGACAGCCGACATGTTGCTGCAACCACAAAAATGAGGGTATTGGATAAATAACTATTGGATCCAATACATCAGAAATAGCAATAATATTATTGTTGCATCTCAGGATTGGGGGTGACGTGTTCTTTCGATCTTGCTTCCCTCTCAAGCAAGTTCGAGCAAGTTCCGGTTGTATTGCGCCGGTATATCGAGCAAGGTATGTCGACCGCAACAGTAAACAACAAACCACGATGATAAGTTTTGGTGCAGGCCCTTGCTGGAAGGCAGTACTGGCAACCCTGCTGGTGCAAGGTTCAACAATTCGAGCATTTGTACCACTCAGTCCAGTAGCAGGACTGCACAGAAGGGGACCTGCAATCAAAAAGACCGCAATTATTGTCTTTTCAGACTGGAATGACAGCTCTCAAGACTCCAACAACTGGAGCAGTAGTGATGATGCTGGCACTGATGCACAGGAAGATTGGGAAGATCTCCTCAACCGGAAAAATAATGGATCCTTCTGGTCTGAATTTGAATCCAGTGAAGACAACGCTGTCTCCCTAGATATCAATGCTGATCAAGTCGAAGAAGTAGATGAATCAGATGCATGGTTGGAGACTCTGGCATCCCTCCAAGCAGAAGAGGTGGAGTTCAACATGAAAGAAGCCGATCGAGCTGATAAGGTTAGGCAGATGCAAGAATGGGGGTTTGATTCATCCACTATTGAATCAACCTTGGACGTTTCCATGGATTCTTCTCTGGAAGAAAAAGATGAAGTTGATGGGATGAAGCTCTTTCGAGAAGAATCCTACTGGGATGAGGAAGATATGAGTTTGGTGGAAAGTCATACCAAAGTAGCCAAAGATCCGGATACAGGAGAGACTATGCGGAGTCAAATGGTCTATGTAGATGAACACACTTGCATTGGTAAGTCATCAACCATGCTGAAGCAATGACTCTGTTTGCAGCAGTTCAGTTATGCTCAAGATGTAAATCATTGTCACACGCAAAAATTGATACCAGGATGCACAAAGTAAGAGTTTTGGTGCATGAATCACGTTTAGGTGTACTGGGTCTGGCTACTTGGATTAACCCATGTCTCAACTTCTCGTTGCTGTCAGCTGTGCAATGATTGCACAATCAACCTTTTTTATGCAAGACGACCATGGTAGAGCTCGAGTGTTTGAACAGTGGGGCGATGATGATGAAACAATCAAGATAGCCATTGAAACCTGTCCTGTGGATTGCATCCACTATGTTCCATATGATGAACTAGTCAGATTGGAAATTGAACGCAGAGACCAAAACATCAACGCTAAGGTACAGGCGACAGTAGAAGGCTGTGATGGTTTCTTTGAATTGCATTTGGAATCTCATTCATTTCCGTGTCTCTTGTGTTCTCCTTTCTTTGTTCTCTCTCAGGCAAGGCTTGTTAGTCAAGCAGAGTACAGTGGTGCTGGTCCCACGAGTGGGCCTGTTAAATTCACAGAAGCGCCAAGAATTAGTGGGAACATGGCGGCTCGTTGTAACAACTGCCCATCACGTGGCTGCAGGACCTGTCCAATGTATGGTGTTGGTCTGAATCCAGAGTTTCAACGAAAGGAAAAGGAGCGCAAAGCCCGCGCTGCCAAGAGGCGTCTTGAACGTGAGAGAGAAAGTGATATGAAGAGTGCTGATTTGTAAGTACCTTATGTTGTGATGCAAAAAAAGGATCATCCTATTCATTCTAGCAAAAGGAAACAGCTTTAAATGTCAGCTTTAGATGACAGCTCGCTAGCTAGGTAGCTCATCGTCGTTCCGAACGCGTTCACTAGCAAGCTAGCTGCTTGTCTATCTTGTTTTGCTTTGTTAGCGCAATATTTTCGTTTGACACACGGCTTGCGGAACGAACAGGAGCCGTTTTCCAAAGGTTTGTTTCGCCATGAATCCGATTCTTGTAATCGGCAGCGTCCATTATTTTCCTTCACTTAAAAACATTTAGTCTCTATTACTATCAACTCACAGGAGAGAAAGATGCGGGTTACCTCATGGTTTCCCTTATTAGGCAAGCAATCAAGCTTCGTCGCACGCAGCCAGAACTCTGACCACAACAGCAGCTTCGGCGTTTTCGAAACGCTTCTACTCGTTTCCCGGAACATCAGGCAAGGCGTTGCGAATAGTATCAAGACTTGCCAGCGGCGACAACGGTCCGGCTGATGGATCAGAGCCATCAACTCCTGGTGGATTGGAAGCGCCGGTGTCAGGGTTGAGAACAGGTTGTCCTACTCCTACACCAGCTTCGTCCCCTGTCGGCACAGTAGGTTGTGGCGGCTGTGTCAACCATGGTGAAGCGGGAGGACCCATGTTTTGGGCTGCCATTGGTCCCGAAGGTGGCAAATGAGAAGCATATCCATGGCGTTGGAAACCACCATCGCCTCCCCCACCACCACCGTAGAAACCTTGCGAATTGTCTCGGTGTTGATCTGATGGTCGTATCTGCTTGTGTTGTACTTTCAGCCTCTTGTTGCCGATCTGCGAAGAGCGCGAAATCGTAAGCCAAGTGGAGTAGATCTAAGATCGAGCGCGATTGCAACACCGACTGGGGTACTTACTGCAAAGCCATTTAGCTCTTTAATGGCGAGCGCTGCCGAAGCAGGAGAATCGTATGAAACGAACCCAAAACCCCGACTTCGGCCTGTATCTTTTTCTACCATAATGCGTACACTCAAAAGGTTCCCATAAGGACAAAACAACTGATACATATCAAGATTGGTGAAGTGATTCGGTATGTGGAAAATAAACAGATTTGCCCCATCCGGGCCTTTGTTGGATTCTGTCGTTTGGATAGGCGGCCCAGGAGAAGTGGCAGGATAATACTGTCCGTACAATCCCATTTGTCGCATTCCACCGCCCATTTGACCTGGGTAGACAGGCATTTGCGCCGCGGGTCTTGGCTGCAAGGGAGAACCAGGTGTGCCATAGATATCGCCTGGTCCACCAGGGTATCCCCAGGGCTGTTGATGTGCAAAAAGTGTCCCTCCTGCCGCCCCAGAGCTTGTTTGATTGTTTCCGTATGGCGAGTAACCTTGATTGCCTTGGTCTTGCTGATCGGCAGTGGGCGGGAGCATAGTGTCTTCGAAGGAATAAGACCGTCCTGCATTTGCAGTCCGTGTCATACCTGGTACGTAAGGAACGGGCAAGCCTTGGGCATTCACTTGAGGTGAGCCTGGAGGAAACATTGTCTGCTGGGTTCTGTGGGGAGGCAAGAGGACAGGGTGAGGCCAGGCCATCTACTCGCAGGTATAACATAGCAATAATCAAAACACAATAAATCCCTCGTACCTATCGCCCCAAGCAGATATATCTTCAGGGGAGTCGGCTTGAGAACCGATTCCATTAGTAGGATAGCTTTGATACATTGAATTTGGACCCAAGGGAGGCGAAAGATAAGGGACAGATGGGCTTGGTGGAGCACCACCACCACGGTGTCCTTCCATGATCCGTTGCTCTATTCCTCCTGCATGCATTAAGCCAGTAGCTCCAGTAGTGGTAGAAACTCTGGGAAAGAGCGGGGAAGCAGGAGGAATTCCAGCCATCGCTGCTGTACGCCTTGGCGACAAGGGCGTTTGCGGAACAAATGGGCTGTTATGAAATGCAGCAGGCTGCTGGAAGAAAGATCCTACGTCGTATACAGCCGTCGCTCCTGGACCAGCTGGAGAAGGTGGTTCTGGAGTGACTTGAGACTGCTGGTAACCGAGAGGGTAATAACCTTGACCTGGCTGTGGGGTGAGGTGAGCTGGATACCCCTGCAGATACGAGTTAGCCTGCATATGAGGAGTGGGTGACATCCCTCCCTCCATTATAGCCTTGTCGTTTCTATCAGTCCTCTGGTTCACATCAGGGGACGTCTTGTTGCCTCCGTGGTCCTTGGTACCGTTGGTTTCGCCTTCGCCACTAGCAGACGCCTTGAGATCCGAAGATCCGTCTTCTGGTCCACCGCTCTGAGTCATCCTTACACCGTCGCTGTCGAGGCCAATCGACCCTATAACCGGGATAACCGTACTTCTAGGGGACTCGTCAGCTTCTCCTAAGCTGGCGCCGGTCTCCATGCAGCGTATCGGTAGTTGCGAGAGATTCTGATCCAAAATTTGGATTTGTACTGCCCCGCTTAACAACAAGGCTCCCTCCTCGATCTAGCTTCTACCGTCTGTTACCGCTCTCACAAGTGCCAGACCAGCCAGTCTCTACCACTTTCGAGCAAGTGGAGAGGTACTGTACTTGGAGGCGCTCTTCGGCAACACGAACAGAACAGCAGTCGAGGTAGAAGATACCAACGTTGCTCGTAATGGATCGTAGCCTCACAACAGAGAGAAGAAGTTAGTGCTGTTCGGGTGTTGCGAATAGCAGGTCATGACATCCTTTTGCTGCCAAGAGATCCCTGTGGGACGAGCCAGCAAATCCTGAGGTTAAGTCTTTTTTGAGTCCAATGAGTCAACCCACCACAAAAATGAGACTGCAGTACCGGTGCTACTACGGTGCTACCCGCAGTCCATCCAAAATGCATGATCTTGCCACATGTACATACCGGTACTGCAGGTTGAAGGTACTCAGTAGAAGACAAAATCCCCACGCCAACCACTATCAGTACTCGTCGGTTAGACTACGTGTAGTTATCTTATTAATAATAACATGTTCACTGATAATGAGGTATCATGCGATATGATTTGCAACTTGACGCAAGGTTTTTCTGTTTTCTGCATTCAATTGGTGAAAAACAATTTCAGCCTGTCTGCCAGTATGACATAATTGAAAGGATCGAAACTATGGTTCCTCTCCCGTGTGATAGCATCAGGATACCTTACTACATCGATCTTTAATTCAGAAACAAAGAGCCACCTACCTCACATCCAAGAGCTTGACAAGGGCGAGACGGAAGAGTGGCTGACCGTGAGGTTTGAGGTTAGAAAATCTTTGGGAGTGTTGTTAAATCTCTGAGCCGTGGATCCATAGCAAATGACCCGATGTGTCAAAACGTCAAAACCCATCCCAGCCACCCATAATCTTTTTAGATCTAGAATTTGCCATCACGCCATCACTCTCACTTTTCTTTTTAGAGGCACCAGCCATGCACCAGCAAGCTAATAGCTACGAAGTAAGCTAATAGCAAAATGGTACCACGAACGCCAAGATTTTTGTGGCTATCAACCTACTTTGCTGCGGGTGTGCATGCCTTGGTCGTCACCTTGCCCTCGGGAAGCAGGTTGATCGGTTCTAGGAGTGCTTTTTCCCAGCAGTGTCGGTATCCTGGTTACGGCTTTCGGTCGACATGGCATCCCTCAAAATCTTTTGGTACCTGTTCCATGGTGCTTCAGGATGCGGGCCCTCCTGACTTCACCATAGTTGAGGATGACGATAATGATAAGGGCGACAACAGTGGAAGTGAAGTGGAAAATGACATCCAACCAAAGCCCATTATTGAGAGTGGCGGTATCCCTCGGTCAACTGTCCAGAAACTCAGGGTAAAGAACATGCCGTCAAGGCCCAAAAGGAGTCCAAAATTAGAAGGAACGTCTTGGCTCGAGAAGAACGCTGCCTTTTCGGGTGAGGAATATGAGTCGCCGATTCCTGCCGATGACTCGACAAAAGGCAGACCAAATCGAACGTTTCGTCAGGATTTTCAAGGCACTCGTGTGTTTGTGCAGGGTATTCCACTGGATGCGAAGTGGCAAGATTTGAAGGATCATTTCGCCATTGCAGGTGCCGTGGTATTTGCCTCTGTATCTGTGGATTCTGCAACTGGAAAATCAAAGGGATGCGGCATTGTTCAGTTCGAAACTAGCGAAATGGCGCTACATGCTATTGCCGAAATGAGAAATCATCCCATGTTTGGAAGCACCTTGTTTGTGCGAGAAGATGTGCAGGAACAGCGAGGTGCGGGTGATAGAGAACTACGAAGTCGAATGCCCGTGAACCGACGTGACAGCAACAACAAACCGCCGAATACGTGGGAGTGCGCGGATGATGATAACTCATCCGTCTTGAGTGAGGACGAGAGAGACTCTGTCGTGGCCCTCGTCAAGGCCCGAGATGCGGCCAGGAGGCGACGCAATTACGAAGCCTCCGATGAAATGAGGCACGAATTAAAGTCCAGGTACGGTGTTCATGTGGACGATAGGCTCAAACAATGGTGGGTTTCCTTCGATGGAAGCCATGTTCCGCAGAACGTAAAGGCTGTCAAGGGTGACGGTCGATGGGGCGACAAGAAAGTATGGCAACAGATACTGACGACCCCTGAGAATGATGCCTGTGTCAACCCTGACCTTGTGAATGGTCTGCTAATGCAGCGAGACATTGCCAGGCGCGAAAAGGACTTTTCCACGGCCGACGCCCTCCTGGATGAAGCCAGGAATTCACCCGATGGCGAGCTGTATCTCCGGATCCATGATGAATCTCGAACTTGGAGGATCTGGACCGATAAGCCTCCAGCGAAATCGGTGGATTATCACCCTAAACCACGGCTCAGTGCTGCCGAGCAGTGCATTGCTCTTATCAGGGAAAAGGCCCCTCATAAGGAAGAAGAAATCAAATTGTTGCTCCAGAAATTCCCAGGAAGAGAATATCCCATTCTTAAAAAGCTGCGAAAGAGCTTGGAAGAAGTGTAGCCAGCTCCATAGTACATACGGTAGATAAGAAGGTTGGTGGTCCAAAAAGTAAAAAAGTGCTTCACTATGTATTGTATATCTTCCTTTGCTGACGCCTTGTCACTCGTCTTTTTGGGGTCCCTTCAGGACCGGTACGGTATTTTTTTTTAATCAACCCCGTGTGGGTCTGTCTGGTGATGTGGCGCCTAGAACTATCATTTTGAGTATTTAGCTAATTTTGTAGCATTTTGGCATTTCAGCTGAATCGAGCATTACCCGTATCTTAATAGCTGGAGAAATTTAATGCAGAAAGCCAGCCAAAAAGGCAAGTGTCCTATTTAATGCATAAAAGTCCTCAGATATAGATACATTTTATCCAAAATGTGACATAGGCAAAACTTGGATATTTGCTTAGGCAAGCATGTTCATTAATTAGATTTATATAATATACATGATGATATAATAGTAAGAGCATGCCATTGGAAAACAGTTACTGGTCAAACTAAGGCTTTTATAGACTTATTGCAAGTTGCCTTCAAGTAGATGGTGGCAAGACGTACTTAAGATGAACTATGACTGCATAGAAATGTGGATTTAAGGTACATTGAAGTAATAGGGTTAAGGTTATTGAATAGCATGCCCAATGGGCACCAGATTCGAAAGATAATGTATTTGGCTTGGTAGTCTGGTTTGGCAGTTTATTACTTTCTTTTCCATCTTTTGTTTGGTTTTCGTTTTCGTTTTCGTTTTCGTTTGATGGTGTGCTTTGACTTGCCTCTAACAACCCATGCTCCTCAAAAATGCTTACACAATCACATTCACCCGTCCCTGAAACTCATACCCACTGGGCATAGGATTCAAAAATGGTAACATTCCTAAGGTCCTGACTGGAATTGTTACCACCCAGACAACACTACTGTATCCATATCTTGTGCAAACACTCAAACCAAATTCAAAGACTCAAACCAAAAAACTAAGAAATGACGGAGTCACACATATGCTAGGCAGCGCAGCAGCAAAAGAATCTCAACCCTAAACAAAATCTGTTCACCACATTTTCCACCACCTTAATGTTTTACGTACTTTCACACCGTTAGCTTCAACGCAAACAGAACTAGACGTTATACTTCAGACCCACACGGGGGTAAGCTATGAAATTCTTGGATCTCCTTCAAGCTTACTCACTCGGCTCCGAGTGTGACTTCCCCTGGTATCGAGCGTACTGTAGTCACGTTGCCTCCAAGAATGGATCAATCGTGATCACGAATGAAACAGCAAACGGATCAACGACAACAACACAAAGTTGCAAAGTGAAACATCTCGTTGTCCCATTAGACGAACCTTCCATTAGAGGCCAGGACCGACTACATACATCAGAGACCTCAGATAAGAATACGATGAATCGCTACGCTTCAGAGGGAGAGATACATGGGGAAATAGTCGAACTCTACCAATCATCCCGCGAGCGGCAGAAGTATGACGACCAGGCGAGTCTGTACGCCATCATCGTGGCAACAGAACATTTGGAACGAGCCTTTGCCAGAGACGCCGTCAACGACAAGGAGTACAGGACACAGTGCAACAAGCTGATCTCGCAATTTCGGCTGGCAGAGAAGGCTGCCTGTGGGAGTGACATGACAACCGAGTAAGTGTTTTCCAAGATTGTTATACCCATAGTTTGTTTGCTTGACTTAACCTTTGCCTTCACGTTGATTTCACTCCTTCCTCAGAACATTTATGCAAATTTATCAAATGGATTGTCCACGAGCTCGGGAGCGGCTCCTGGTGATGGGCGTGCCCGAAATAATCAAATCTGGGCCCGAAGAAAGCAAGGTGGCAGTCAGTGTCGCAGAGACTGTGCAGGCATTTATCACCGTCATGGATGCCGTCAAGCTGGAGCAACGTGCTGTGGATGAACTTCAGCCCCTCCTCGGCGATTTAATGGAGAGTATCACGAGACTCCCAGAAACCCCTAACGATTTTGAACCCAATCGCAAGGTAGAAAAGTGGTTGAAAAAGTTGAACGCTATGCGTGCTGTGGATGAAATTGACGAAGAAGATTCCAGACAACTTTATCTTGATCTGTAAGTGTTATATCTGTCTGGACCGGTGGACCCCGCAAACTGAAACACTTTTCCCCCCTTACCGTTGGTTGCTTTTTTGTGTTAGGGATTCTGCATACGCCCAATTCACACGCTATCTCAAACGATAATCATCTGCAGACGAGCGCTCTGGAAACCTCAGCACCAATTTGGATCTCTACTGGTCACGTTGGGCTCAATGCTTCATGTCGAGGATGATTAAGTTAATGTGTCTGCCCACCCACAGCAGTTGAGTTCCATGTTCTACTGGTATCAGGCGTCCATCATGAAGTAGTTTTACTTGTTCTACAAACAATATCAATCGCACTTTCTCATTCGTTCGGACTGCTACCATGTACCTAGTCTCCCATTGTTCGTCTTGAAGAGGAGAACACGTTAGATCGCCGTCCTGAGTTTCACGTCATTGTTCCGCCTGATCTCTTCGAACCTTGAACCGCCGCCAACATCCTCTCACTAAGCTAGTAGGGACGACAGAAAACGTAACAAAAGTTTCTACACATATTGCATCGAGCCTAGAAAGAGAATTGATTCGTATCTTCTCTTTGGGTTTGTATTCGATCTAGCATTCAGCGCATAGCTGTGACATGCACTCAATTCCAGTACCCAGTTGTCGCATATATATGAAGTATGAACCACCAACCTCACTTATTAAACTTACTCCTTGGCGAGGCCAACGAATTGGAGGCATTTCTTAAGAGGGCTCACTTCATCTCCAGTTGGCTCTTTGACAGGGATGTACCTCCAGATGACAGCCAAAATGGATCCTGTTAGAGCCATCCAAAACACACTGACAGCCGAAGGCACACGGGCAGCGTAGTCACCAAAGTGAAGTTTGGCCAACAAGAAACCAAAGGCAGAGGATTTCATAGATGTCTCGATAGCCATGGTACGGGAAGAGATTTCATCAAAGCCGCAGAATCTTGGTAGCCCGTAACCCACAAGACCGCCGAGCAAGTGAAGGAACAACACAGGGATCTGCAGTGTACGCAAAGAGAAACAAGAACGTGTCAGCAAGATGAAGTCATCCCTCCGTCGTTGAAAGAAATTTGTCACTTTTCATGCTCTGCGTCAGCCACAGGTCCACGTATCTGTCCTTTGCAACAAAGATGCTTAACTCACCTGCAACGCCATGCCAGCACTCTTGATTGGGTCTGCCACTTGGGCAATGGCACTTGCCACAAGGAGACAAGTGGAGACAACACAAACAACTGGTGCAAAAGGCAGAATTTTTGCAAGCATCTCAGGGGAGTGGATCTGTGGAGTTGTATGCCTGGGCCTAGGTAAGAGTTGCCAATGCGCAGTTGGGGAGTCCGCAAAGCGATCACTGGAAGGGGCAAACGAGGTCGTATAAGGCCATGACTATCGCACTCGCGCATCAGGCGGCCAGACTCAGCTTATGCGATATTTACTTTCGGTTAGGGACTGGCTGGGCGCGAATGTCAGGCGTCCACACTCTACGGACTGTGGAGTTGTGACCAATCAGGCTCAGCGCGGGTGAGCTCTACCTTCTCCCGCAAAGATCGCCGTGGAACTCGTCACGCAGTCTATTGGAGCGGCCCGCTCCTATCTCGCTCGCTCTGAAATGCTCCGCGATGTGAGCTATGCGATGTCTAGTGCCCGGTATCAGCAGATAACGCAGTTCTCTGGCTTCTCGGTGGCAGCAATATTATCGTGCAAGTATGGATCCTGTGCCTGCCTGTCTACTTCCTGTATACAACCAATCAACGGAATCCTGACCACGGATCAGTGCGAGCGCGCCAAACATGAATCTCTCTCAACCAAGGACTAATCGGAACAAGCATTGTTCTCTACCTCTTCTGAGATTCCGTAGCATACGTTCACACGCGGTCTCGCTGTCAATGTCTCCATCATTAAAGCGGTCGGCTGGCCTAATGCCCGGATCACCTAAGAAAACGCCGACCGCCTTCAACCTCTACATCAAACACCACTAAACTACTAGCCCTGCCGTGGACACCAGATCAATCCGAAATGACAGACTAGGTACGTTAGTCCAAACCTTTGCTCAGCCTACTCGAAGGCAGAGACGTGGGAGTTCTTTGTCACCGACTTCAGAGGGCGCTACTACCTTGCTCCGAACCTGGAGGGTGTTCGACATCCTGCCATCCCGTTGCTCTGCCACTGGAGAGACAATGGGGTCCCCGTACAAAAAGAATCACCTCCCTGGACCAAGGAACAGAAGGAGGAATGCATACGCCGCGGCTGCACAAATTGCTACCGAAGCAGTTCCGATGCCTCGTGGAATTTTCGAGTTATCGAGAACAGTTTCTGGGCTGTCCTTCCATTCGACCTCTTCAAGGATGAACCCTCCCTCCTTCTGTCTGCCGCTGCGGTGAGGGTGGAACGAGACCGAAAACCCCAACTCATCAGCGACCACACCTGGAACCGGGGATGGCCCTCCGTAAACGAAACCACATCACATCACGCACCGACCGAGGCCATGCAATTTGGAAATGCCCTTCCGCGCATCCTGTACGATGTGCGCCACGCAAACCCCAAGTTTGGGCCCGTCTGCCTCTGCAAGCATGACATCAAGGACGGCTCCTACCATATGTTCCTGAACCCTTCCGACTGCATCCGACTCGCGCTGGGGCTGCCTCGCTATGAAGGTTAGCCCAACTGTTGGCCGTCCCAATGTCGTGAACCATGGGATGGGTCGAGTCACCGCCCACGTTCAGTGGCATGTCGGAGACTACCTGCGACCGAGCAACTGTTTGATTTGCATTT